GGAAGTGTGGCAATGACTGTCGTCGAAAGAATCACAATTTTAACATATGTGGTCCTGGTGTGTATGGAAACAGCTTCACCTTTTGAATTAGTGAAAATGAATGTAAAAAGCGTAATACAACTTTACTCATTTTATATATGTTCCACAGTACCAACAAGCCCTCCTGAGAACAACTCAGCACTCTGGATCATTTGTGTTGGATTGTGTCTCTTAATTTGTGCCGTTGGTATTTGTGCTATTTATTTGCGCTGCAGAAAACCCCTGAAAGGTAAGCAGTGACATTTAAGATGGGTATTTTTATCTTCAAAGACTGATTTTAATCGTGTTATACAACAGTAGCAGTGATGTCTTTCAAGAGTAACTTCCTGTGGTTAGCCACCCAGACAGTGCTAGGACTGAAATAATACTCTAATCTAATAATAATCTAATATGCAGTAAATAATCATTTTCAAGGAATATCCCTGCTTCTAACTTTTGAAATGATTTTATTTCAGGTGAAGAAAAGCCAAAGGAAGAAGCACCTCTAGAACCGCCAGTTTCATCCGGTCCTCGATCTGTATTAATCATCTACTCCAGAGATCATCCCCTTTACACAGACATAGTCCTGAAGCTTTGCGCCTTCCTGCGGGCCAAATGCGGCATTGAGGTTGTGCTAGACCTACTTGACACGACTTGGCTCGGCACCATTGGCCGGCTACAGTGGCTTGAAGAAAAAAAGCGACAGATTGAGCAGTCGTCCAACAAGATCTTGGTCCTTTGTTCCCGAGGAGTGCAAGCCAAGTGGGGGGCGATGTGTGGAGAGCCTCGCATCCTCCTCCGGGAAGACGTGTGCTCTCCGGTCAGTGATATGCTGACTCTCGCCCTTCAGCTGATTACACCTGATATGCAGCGTCCGGCTTCCTACGGGAAGTATTTGGTGGCTTACTTTGACGACGTAAGCAGCGAAGGCGATGTGCCGTCTATGTTTGACATTATGGTCAAATATAAGCTGATGAAGCATTTCGAGGAGCTCTATTTCCGTATCCTCGATGTGGAGAAGTATCAGCAGGGAGTGAAGCACTGTATCGAGGGTATCGGAAAGGACGAGTACTTCAACTGCCCCTCGGGCGAAGCCTTGAGGAACGCAATCGAAGCATTCCAGGCGCACCAAATGAAGAATCCAGACTGGTTTGAGAAAGAGTGCGTGACCAGCGAGGAGGAAGTGAGAGGGGAAGCTGATCGACTTCTTGAGATGCCCATGCAGCCGATATATGAGTTAACACCCGTGCTAAACATCGGACTCCCGATTCTTGTGAAGAAGGTAGACATCAATCAAGAGTCCCAAAGCGTCTGTGCTGTAATTCCCCAAATTCAAGAGAACCCTGAAGAGTCGTCCGTGATGATTATTAATCCAAGAGTCCAGCCAGAGCACAGCGAAGTACTTTCCTTTTATCCAGCAATGGAACGTCCTCTTGAATTACCCAGCGTGACTGGTATTGGGACACCAATGGACCCACAAATTTACCCTTGTCTCCTCGCTGAACCAGGACCAGTGGAAACCACACATCCTCCTTTTGCGTTTCCAATGGGGGAACCATCAGATAACTGTCCGACGGACAGCAGAAAGTGCTTTTTGATAGCACCTCCACCATCAATGGAGGACAGCTTCCATCTGTATCAGGAGATGGATATGTCCCAGCCAGTGGAGATGGAGGAAAGTGAAATGGAGTGTGCTTCTGAGACGAGACCATCACGAGGGTCCGATCAGGGATATGGTTCCAGGTATTCCACAGTGAGGGAGGACCCCAAGTTTCAACAAGACCTTTCCTCTCTGGCCAAGTTACAAATGGACCTCTTCTTGAACAGCCCGATCTCTTCTGGTTTCTGCACCAACCCTATGGAGATCTGAATTTCTTGTGCGTCTTTTGGCTGTTTTTTCATTTGCAGTGTGCTGTAGCACTGTGGCAGGATGTTCTTGAACAGTCTGTGGTTGGTCGTCACTCCTAAAACATTCAAACTATTTGTGTCAACAGACTAGAAACAGACTAGATGGACGAGTTCAATAATCAGCTGTTTTAAAAGTGATTACATGTTATATATTTATCATAAATAATTAGACGTAAACACAAGAGTGTGATCGGTTCACTTTTACTGTGGAGCAGAACAAGTACCTTGTTAAACAGCTTGATATAGAACAGCACATCACATGATTTTAAGCTTATGTTTAGCTACTGAACACAAGTCTAAGTAATTTGGTTGGGCTTGCAGTGTTACATTTGTATTGTTTTTTCATATTAATTGCTTATATTAAATGTTTTGTTGTATTGCACTATTTTTTAAATTGTTCATTCCAGTTTAACAGCTATAACCATCTATGGAAGTTTGTATATAATATTGTATAAGTAAATTTATAAAGCAGCATTCTTTGGTAATCTTCTGTCGTGTGCTTTTTACTCTAATTTAGTTAAACAATCACTTTGCTTGCATCAAATTTCATCCAACTTTGGACTACAAATAATTTTTAACCAATTTAACCAGGATGCTTCCAGACCCTTGCAGCTGTTGCAGTGCAAATAATGTCTTATGTAAACATAACTTAAATTGCAAACTAAAGCCCTTGTAAGAAAATTCTCTGTAAAACATTTATGTGGATAAATAGAGAGAGGTGGGGTTGGAAGTCGCTTTCCTTATCAAAAGGTTACGTACATACACTAAAACCTGTAGTTTAAGAAACATGCGTAGTATCCTGTGGTATATTTGTCAGGTTAAATACTGCGCAATGAGGCACAAAAATCCCATAATGCACTTTTGGCCTGCATATTTAACACGTTTAGCTCACCCTGTACCCCAATCCTCAAAGCACAAGAGTAATAATATGTTAGAATAGGATGCACATTTGTTAGTAATTACATGTTGGACTAGCATATATAATACTCTGTTTTAAAACTGAAAAAGTGACAGGACAAGCTTGCTTCTCACAGTTAAAGTGACAGCTCACCGAAAAATGAATATTACTCACACTAATGTCACTCTAAACCTGGATGCATTTATTTCTTCAGAAGATATTTTGAAAAATGTTTTTGTCCTTACAATGAAGGTCAATGGGGTCCAAACCAACATTGTTTGGACCCCACTGACTTTCATTATATGCACAAGAACATTCTTTAAAATGTCTTCTTTTGTGTTGTACAAAAGAAAGCAAGTCATTCAGGTTTGAAATGACATGAGGGTGCATAAATTATGTCCGAATTTTCCATTTTAGATGAACTGTCCTTTTAAGGTGGAGAATTGGAGTGAGAAACATGGATATTAAGCTTTGACATATTTGTTCAAGTTCCTGGTGTAAATATTAGTGTAACTAATGAGCTTGGAAATACACATATTTAGATTTAGACATGGATGCACTGCGTGTAGTATTAATGGATGATGTCCATTCGCAATCTGTCTGTCAGCACTATAACACTATTCATGGTTGGTCAAAATGTTATTAATTGTGATACTCATACCTTATTTATTGGCATGAATAATACATCATCTGGAATTGAGCAGGTAAACTGACTGGTTTATGATTTCAACCATGAGGTTCTGTAAAGAGAGGTAGTCTTGTACAAACTGATGATGGTAATATGGCTGGTTGGGACCAGCAATGGAGTCTGGTCATTAAAGATGGATTACAGTTACAGATTCTATGCTTAAAGTAGCCTATTATTACATCAAGGTACATTATGAATCCATATCATACACCGTTCAGCAATTTACCATTCCTAAGTACCATTGCCACTGACAAAAGTATTTCAAATAGGAAAGGGCTACATCACATTCACAATTTGAAGTGTACACCAAGCCTAACAAGTCACAAGGCATATTTACACTTTTGACAAGTGCATTTAGGAACATCTCTTGACAAGGTGTCTGAAAACACTATAAACATGTGTCTACATTAGCCTACTGTCAGTTAAGGACATTTTTACATAGAAAATAAATGATACAACATTGCACTTATAACTTCTCAGTTGAATAGTCCTCACACTGAATTAAAGTGCCTCACAAAACAAGTGCAAATCAAAGATTCTCGTATCGCCATATAAGCACTGGTTGACAGTCACATCCCAATACATTAAGTATATACTGCAGAGGCCACAGGTGGGAATGTTTTTCATTGGCACATCGAGTGGTTTGGTTGTAGCACCTGTTGAGAGTGGAGGAGAACGACAGGGAGTTCATAAGGAGAGGTACCACAGGCATAAATCTAGGCCAATGTTTTGATTAGATTTGGCTAATATTGTCATAAACATTGAATTATTATGATTTTATGTCACATACACCAAGTACATAATGTAAAATCAGTTATTTCGGGCATGTCTCACACAAATGATATTTTGGATTTAGGCCAACAGCTAATAAACCTAATTTTTCATGTTTTGAACAGAATCCTAATGTTGCATTTGTTGGTAATTGTCAGAGTTTTGTAGGTGTTTTATTCATTTGCTAAATGAACAACCTTTTGCAAACAAGTCTGACAATTAGCAACCACTGAGTTAGTCACATATACACATTATTTTGTGGAGTTCACTAGTTCTATTATGCACACCTGTGAAAATCTAATTAGCCTACATGATAGCTAATTTTGCACACTGCATTTCTGTCAGTAATTTTCGCCCCAATTAGCAAACTGTTAAGACGTTATAAACAAACTATTTTTTTATAATTCTAAAATACACTCTTAAAAATAAAGGTGCTTCTCGATGCCATAGAAGAAGCTTTTTTGTCTAAATGGTTGCATAAAGAACCTTTAACATCTGAAGAACCTTTCTGTTTCACAAAAGGTTCTTTGTGGCGAAAGAAGGTTCTTCAGATTATAAAAAGGTAAGAAAGAGGTGGTTCTTTGACTGGATGGAACCAAAAATGGTTCTTCTGGCATCGCTGTGAAGAACCTTTTAAGCGCCTTTATTTTTAAGAGTAAACCTCATAATACGTACTTTTACAAAGTATCGTCACAATACATTTTATTAATTGGTTTGTGTGTTTTTATCAGTATTTTGATTAAAATGAAAGGAATGTTAGCATCTGTAGTACCTCCCTTTAAAAGGGCTGATGCACACTGTGTAGTACGTGGCCTCCGGTCAACGCCAGTCCCTAATGAGCATCTACGACTGAGTATTGACAGCCAGCGTGTTCACATAGCCGTGAGGACACATGTCGTTTTCGGAAACGCAGTGGGAGAACTGGGCTGGGTTGCCCCCGCGTCCACGTGCAAACCTCCGGACACCTCTTGAGGACATGCACTGTTCGACAAGCTCCAGGCACTTACACCCCAAGAAGAAGATGTTCTTGAACATGAAAACCGATATGGGCGTTTTGTAAACAAAGACGAGGAAACATCTGACCCCCAAGAGCGGTGCGTTGAGCAGCACGCCGGTGAAGAACCTCGCCCATATCCAGCGACAGTTCATCTCTGAGGCCGTCAACTCGTAAAGCCAAACAACTGGAACGCCCAGTGCGATGAAATACACGGATATAACCGTGTACCTAAGGTATATGTTGGGGATTTCGTTTTTAAGGAGCAGTTCCACCAGCGTGAAGCTGTCCAGGATGTCTAAGCAGGTGCTCATGAAGCAGCCTTGGGAACGAAAGCGCGTGGCGCCGTTGGGATCTTCAATGATGGAGTTGATGAGGCAGTAAAGCAAAGGCGCGCACAGCAGCATGGTTATTTTAAACCCGGTGATGCCAAATGGCACCTTCAGGGCGATCAGATCCAGGATGGACGTTTCCAAAACGAGCACCACTTTTGGGGTGGATGCGATCACGTAGATGAGCCATGCCAGGTACGCAAAGGTGAACTCCCCGAGGTTGCATCCAAAGATGGAGCTCTTCTGATGGAAACCACAAGCTCGTTCTCTCTTACTCCTGGCGTTTTTCATGAAGAAGATCGCCCATCCTGATATAACCACCAGATCCGTGGCTATCCACGAGCACCAGTAGAGATCCGTGAAGATGATGAGGTAGAAATCCAGCATGCCTCCTTGGAGAACGAGCACGAGGAAACACAGGATCTTATAAAACAGGTTCTTATTAGACCTCTGCACGAACAGAGGGGTGGACTGCATGAATTCGCCCGATGTCATGGTGTAAGACTGAGGCTGAGCTGTGGCTGAGGAGGAGACCAGGGGCTGGGAGCTGCCCTCCTCGAGGTTGGCGCTGCCGCTGGTGGTCTGCGTGTCCCTCCTGGACGCGACGCTTCGGATGAACAACAGCTGTCCGTTTTCTGGTGCTGAGGAGACAGGTGAGTCGGGCTGGGAGATGTCTTTTATGATTTCAGCAGTCATTGTATTCATGCCTTCTCCTCCCGACTTGTTTTGGCTCTGCTAGTGTAATGATAGCCGCTCAAGGGGGCAGAGGAGGAAATCCCGTTATGGAATTGCGGTGGAATGGAATGCGCACTTACCATTCCCTCCAAATTAAAACTGATAAATAATGAACTGATTAAATCAACGAATCCGATATTCGTTAAAACATAAATTAATGTTTCAAACATTTCATATTCCCGTTTATAAATATAGTCTAGTGCTGCGCTTTTTTTCTTTTAACGTTGTCGTTTTTCCGCATTAATAAGAGCTGTCTTAAGTTTTCCTAATGATATAGACTAGCCTACGTCGATTTAATAGTAAAGATGTACTTAGAATATTGCTAAATAGGCCTAAATTGGTCATGTCATTACTGATTGCGTTATTTAATTTAGTAGCCTATACTTTGGTCCTCTATTCATTTTTTGAGTGCTTGTGGAAGGTAAATTGTTGAAAGTAAAAGCGTTTTTATTGCAAGTTAATTTTGGTCTTCGCAATTTGTACATCAAATTAAAAAATAATAATGGAAGAAGAATATAAAAATGCTACAGTAAACTTTTTCTTATCTGTAAGTTACCTTAGAATATACTGCTAAAATTATAATTTAAAAGACAATGAAATACGATTTTAGTTTTAATTCAAACGTTGAAAATTTGAATTAAATGTTGAAATGTGACAAATTGGAAGGTATGAATTACCTTATAATTTACTAAATAAATGAATATTATGTTTAACAAGATAATAGATAGGTCTACTTGGTGAAGCCATGGTTAAAATATATATATTTTAAAATTTTATTAGTAGTAATTCTAATAATTTATGAAAAGGGGGCAATCACAGAATAAAACCTGCAAAACGTCCTTTTTTATTTTATTCAAAGATGCTTTGTTTCTGGAAAGATAATGTAGATACGAATATATAAAATAAGAATAAAGTTGATGATATGATGTGAATTTCACAAAACGGTTTCCATAAAAATGCAAAACAAGTAAAATGCAAAAGGCTTCACCAAAGCAGTGTTTTTATAGACAATCACATTTGTCTTGAAGATGATGTGCATTCAAGCATAATCACTCACAGAAGCCTGATGTAGAACATCAGAAGCCTAGTATGAACATTATAGTTATCAGAGTCCGAGCATTGTTTCATTACAAAAATGCTGCAGTTTGTTACACTGTGTGTCGGCTGTGCTTAGTGCTGATTTATAAAAGATTTTAAACCATCTACAGTATTTCTAAAGGTTTGTTGCAGGTATAACTTTCATTTACAAAAAAAAAAAAAACAATACCATAATATACTTAAAGCCAAAATGAATAAGATTTTTTTTTAACCAATAAGCCCCTGGCATAACTGCTAAATTAAATACCATGACAGCAGGCTATTCTCCATTACACACAGAACTGCAGAGACAACTGAAATGCCCTGAATACTTTATCTCCAAACCGCTAAGGCTAAATATTACCAATCTGTCAGTAACATTTACATATAAACCCACAGACATGTAATAATTTGATAATAAACTTTAATTTCAAGTTACATTGGATGGTTCTGAACCATAGAAAACAAGCACATTTCTGTATAAACATATGCATATCAACCAAGTTCGACAAGAACCGAATAACAATTGGGTGTTTGTGGTTTGACTACTGCCAGCTGAGCTTAATATGCAATATTCACTGAAGCAAAACAGATTTACAATTAATAGACAGGTAAACTGATGAACATTCAGCTTCATATTTGAATGCATTTAAGTCGGCTTTTGGGAGTCCAGATTCACAAATCATCGGCGCACTCAGTTTGTAGGGACTTCCCATGGGATACCACAGCTACAGCTAAACAAGTACAAAAAAAACAACTCGGTGGATAATTTAATAGTGAGGAACAAAACATTTAGGGATAAATGTTACACGAGTTGTCCGTGTGAATGTTGACGAGTGCATTTGTGACATCCAGGAAGCTCCCCGCCACCACCACCACCTCCCACCCAGTCAGAATCAGTGCATGAGAAGAGGGATATTTCAAAAATATCAGAAGCATTAACAGCCACCAGTTTGTGAAGTCATACACAGTTGCTGTATCCTCACAGTCAATAATAAACATGTCAAACCCACACCTGAGATAAACTCGGTCAGGTTTGTTAGCTATAGCTTTCCAATTTTATACATAACTTAGTGTCCTTTCTTGCAATTTTTTAAATTACTTTTGTTTTTGCTCTTTATACTTATTCTAGTACATTAACCTGACATGGACAGACTCACAGAATGGAGAAGGCTTTCTAGAACATATTTTTTAGCACAAGGGCTATTTTTTATGTCTTTTGACGTGTTTTGTATTCATTTATTGAATCTGAAATGAATTCATTGTTTTAATGGCCTGCTGAAAGGCACTGCCACAACACAGGGGAAAAAAGACGCTACTGCCCATCAGTCACACAAGACAGTTCTGTCTAGTCTCTAATAGGGATAGAAATAGAGTAAACAGGGACAAGGGTTAGTCTAGGAGGGCGTTAGCGATGGATGGAAAGAGGCCTGCTATAGGTACAGCTCGTAGTAATCGTCCAGCTCTTCATGGAACAAGTCCCACTCATCTTCGGAGTCTGTGACATCATCGTCGGTTCCGGCAGCCAGAAGCATGAGGAGCATCTCGCTGAGCTCGAACGTCACCATCTCGTCTTCGTTATCGCTATTCTGCCGCTCGTCGAAAAGATCCCAGAGTGGCGTCCGTCTGGAGTTCTGCAACACAGATTCCATTAATGGCTCAATCGAGTGCCAATGATCGAATTCGTTGCACATCATTAAGTAAATACGATATGCTTTCACGCAACAGAATTTTCAGTTTGGCACCAACGTTGGGAGAAAATAGCCGTAAGGCTTCAGTAGAAGCTTTACCCGGTTTCTTCCGTTGGAGCCGGTCTGTCTCCTCTGGGGTTGAGGCTCTTCCAGACGCCCATCAGGAAAGGCATGCTTGTAAAAGCAGTTGGCTCCAAACGGACAGGTCCCACGGCCTTCATCAAAATATCGGCATGGTTTACTCCTGGGTAAGAAGATGGACAAAACTGATTAGCTAAACAAATGGATCACAAAAATGCTTCATAATGCTTTGGCCCTAAAGGGATGGTTCATCCAAAAATGAAAATTCTGTCATTAATTACTCACCCTCACCCTCAGAAATTGTTGAATAAAGTTCAAAACGTATTCCAGTAGATTCATAAAATTAAATTATTTTAACGATGTCCTTACTAACTTTCTGGGACTTGAACGTGTCGGTTGCATTGTTGTCTATGCAGGGTCAGAAAGCTCTCGGATTTAATCAAAAATATCTTAATTTGTGTTCCGAAGATGAACGAAGGTTTTACGGGTTTGAAATGACATGAGATTGAGTAATTAATGACAGAATTAAAATTTTTGGGTGAACTATCCTTTTAAAAGTACAGTTCACTTCAAAATTACAATTCTGTCATTTATTGACTTTCATGTTAACACAAAAGGACTACAACACCTGCATGAGTTCAAAAATGGCTTGTAAATGCCATTTAACACCACTAAGGTCAACAAAATTGGTTCTTGCATTTATCATGACCAAATGTCAAATTCGAACCAAAGATTATTGCTGTTACATCTGATATGAGAGCTACAGCAGAGGGGAAGATTTTCAAGGAATGACGACTTAAATTTTGGTCTGTTTATCACACAAAGCTATAGTATGAATTCAGAAGATCTGTAATATAGTGCATTAGTCATGGGAAAAAACTTAAATGCTGCATATTTTGTCATTTTTGTCCCAGTCCCATCACCCTTTACTTTCATTAAATGGACAAGAGTGGCCAGAATACTCTTCAGAAAGTCATCTTTTTGTTCCATAGAAGGCAAACGACATTCGGGTGAGTAAATGACAGAATTTAATTATGACTTAGCCTATTTATTACTTAACTATTACTATTTAACTATTACTTTAATCAGAAACATTCTCAATTGTGTACCCCATGCCATCCTTGTACTTCTGAATGAGTTGCTGCTTCTCCTCCTTGTCCTCCACCCAGTATTCGCTTGGTATGACAAAGTTCGATGTTATTCGACACTCTGGGCAGGACCTGATTAGGAACACATTAATTTGTTACTAAAAATATGGTTCTTCCTTTTATACCAGCACTGATTTTTAAAAGAAGAGGTGGACAATTACAATTAGCGATAATAATCCTAAGCTAACGATCATAGTATTTGAAGTGATTAAAGATCATCTCCCCAGAATCCTATTCAACTTAATACATGTGTAATTATCTTACTTTATGGATGGTCTTACTTTATGATCTTGCTCTCGAACTGCTTGGCGCTCCGCCATTTCCTGATGCACTTGAGGCAGTAACAGTGGCTGCAGTTGGAGAGGATGCCGAAACGGCGTTCGTTGGGGTTGGTTTTCTCGAACACCACCTCCATGCACACGCCACACATCATATCTTTACTACGCTGGATGGCAAACGAGATTTCCATGTCCTTCTCGTGAGCCTCAATGCAGGCCTGCCGTTAACAAACAATATGAGATTTTACTCTGAAACGTTCAAAAGAGTCTGAGAACAGGATGTCAACTCCGTACTCACCCTGATGTGTTGCGAGCGCTGAGAGGAGTCGGAAGGGTGGAGAACCTGTAGGCCACACATGTCGCAAACGTCTCCGTGGAGGTAGGCGCAGTTGAGGCCATAGCGACATTCGCCGACAGCGGCATACGGGCAAAGCTGTTTCTTCATTTCTTTGTTAGCTAGTTCTTTCTCGTACTCTTCTTCGATGAGAGGTCCAGGCCCCTCAAGCGGCACTGGGTCAGCTGCAGAGGGAACAAAAGAGGAATGATTTTAAAGGAATAGTTCACCTAGAAATGAAAATTCTGTCATTAATTACTCACCCTCATGTCATTCCAATCCCCTAAGACCTTCGTTCATCTTCTGAACACAAATGAAGATATTTTTGATGAAATCCGAGAGCTTTCTGACCCTGCATAGACAACAATGCAACTGACACATTCAAGGCCCAGAAAGGTAGTAAGGACATCCTTAAAAT